TGAAGTTTTACCCTGCCACGCATCCACCTCACCCCTCTCTCCTCAGCTCTCCACGTTGGGCACTCCTCGCTCCATTAAAATCTGGGATCCTTACGACGTCCTCGCTCCTCCTCCTCCTTTGTCCATGGATCGTGATCCCACGCTGCTGCTGGAGGTTTTCCTTATTAGCCACGGGGAGTGCGACTTGAATTTGAGGCCGGATTTGGTTGGCGGTAGGTGCCACGGAGTGGCCTTGACTGCAAACGGGAAGCGCCAAGCCAGGGCTCTCGCTGTCTTGTTCAATTCTCAAGGTGTCAGCTTCACTGCTGTTTATTGCTCGCCATTGGATCGGGCAAGATCGATGGCCATGTCAGTTTGTCAGGTTATTCCAATTTTATTTTTTATTTTTTTATCAAATTTTTTAGAGAATTCTGGGATTTTAATTATTTAGTTATTACTATTCCCATTAGGATCACAATGAATGATTGCCTTGCCTGCATTTAGTTTTAGAAGAAAAATATGAGTGAATAGGATTGGACTACCAAATTTCAATCATAGTTATTAACAAGGATTGGATCATTGGGGATGGAATATCAAACAATTAATCTAACTATCATTCTCTGCATAAATTGGGCACTTCAATGTTCAATCATAGTTATTATTAAAGCAAAGGGCTTTCTATCTACTGATCCTATGAGGACTCTCTAATTTCTATCTGTTGTGACCATCAGTTTTATAATTTATATAATTTATACACTACAAGGTGCATGGTATGGTTTGTAGACCAAAAAGGGAGGCACATGAGACAGTGTATCTGCTAGTGATAAAGAGAAATTGATGCGACTGTAAGGATGCTTTATTCTAGTATTATAAGGCCCTGCTATACCTATGAATATGAAAATAAGGAAGAACAATGAATTAATGCAATGCAAGCAACTGGTGGGAAAACCACATGGTGCCCTTTCCTTTCTTGACAAATTTATGCAAAAGTCTAATTCCACCTCAGTTGAGTTAATCTAGTTGGTATTACAATTTACAAGCAAACCAACAATGTACCACTGGTGTATGGAGTATGGACAGACAGAATGGTTTCTTATTGTATCTACTCTTCAATTTATCTCTACTTCTTTTACATAATTACATTGCATTCTCTTCCTGGTTGTTACTTATTACCTCTGGCGCTGGATAAAATCACTCAGACATATTTATATTAATTTACTTGTATAGTTTACTTACTGACCCAATTGCCCATATCCTTTAAAATCATTCAGGAGATGAATTTTGCTGAGGATCAGATACAATCATCGGATGCACTTCTGGAGATGAGTATGGGGCACTGGGAAGGCTGCCTCCGATCACAAACATACACACCAGAAATCTTAAGCCTAATTGAAAGGAACCAGCCTGATTTTTCTGCACCTTCTGGAGAATCACTCAGGCAAGTGGAATTTCGGATGGTTGAGTTCTTGAATGGGACTCTCCTTGGACTTCCTCAACAATTAAGACCACAACTTTTGTCAAACCACATTCAAGGTTTTTCACTCCAGCACACTCATTCTCTAACCAACTCTGTCCGTGACAGAGATGGATCTTCTCTTCCTCCACCCTTTCCCAGGCACCGGCATGGACTGTTGAAAAAGAAGTCTGATAAGAGCAGGCTACAATTTGTGTCTAATACTGGCGGTGATCATGATGCTGATGATGAAATGTCTCCTCGGGAAGCCAACCGTAAATCTGACATCCATGGCTTAAATGTTGTCAGAAGTACCTCTTCCCTCGCTTTACCCTCCTCTATGTCCTATTGTGTTGGTGTTTTCACTCATTCTATGCCAATCAAGTGTCTTGTTACAGGCGTCCTTGGGTGCAGCCCAGCAATGTCACATAAGATCTGCATCGAAGATTCTTCTGTAACTGTATTACAGCATTCATGGAAAACAGGTTGGCAGATAAAACGGTTGAATGATACTGCACATCTTAGGCTTCTCTAGTCGGAGAATTCTGTTATCATACAGTGGTGCAGTGGAAATTTCTGGTGAAAAAGGTGGAAACTTTTTAACTATTGACCAGAAGTTGGAATCGCTAAGCCTCATCATCGGTTGAATTTGTATGTTGCCATTCGAGTTCAAGCTCTCTCTCACTTTAATTGGTGATTCTTCCATACTTGGTTATAGCATTCAATATAATTATTTTCAGATTCATCAATTCTGAAGAGAAATGATTTTTTTGGAAGTTGGGAGCAATTATTGTTCATGAGATTAGTGGGTGAAAAATTATTTTAAAATTATATCATTTTAATGCAATCTCTCATGTGGTTCAGTGATGACCACGTTATTCATTGAGTAGCAGGTGAAATGCACACTGATCATGAATTTGATTCTCTCAAGAAACAAACACTAACTAATTTAATCTAAAATTTTTTATCGTCAAAAAACAAAATTATGTCATTATAATAAAATATTATAAAAAAATTAAAATAACATTATTTATACTTTAAAAATTAAAATGTTTTAATTTTTTTAATGAGAGTTTATTAAAATAATGTAAAGTATTTTTTATATAATTTTT